GTGCGTGAGCATCGCGCAGCTGCTGCCGCAGGAGGAGCTGGAGGGGCTGGTGATGCCCACCCTGCGCCAGGCCGCCGAGGACAAGTCCTGGCGCGTCCGGTACATGGTGGCCGACAAGTTCACCGAGGTGGGGACACACCTGGATACACCTGGGTATACCTGGGCACACCTGGATACACCTGGGTATACCTGGGCACACCTGGGATACACCTGGGGGACACCTGGGGACACCTGGGCACACCTGGGCACACCTGGGGACACCTGGGGTACACCCAGACACACACAGACACACCTGGGACACACCTGTGCACACCTGGGGATACCTGAGATACACCTGGGTACACGTGGGTATACCTGAGATACACCCAGACGCACACAGACACACCTGGGACACACCTGTGCACACCTGGGGATACCTGGGATACAGCTGGGCACACCTGGGGACACCTGGGATACACCTGGGCACACCTGGGGACACCTGGATACACCTGGGCACACCTGGGGACACCTGGATACACCTGGGTACAAACACACAGACACCTGTACACACACACAGACACACCTGTACACACCCAGACACACCTGTACACACCTGTCCACACCTGTCCACACCTGAGCTCACCTGTCCACACCTGTCCCCGCAGCTCCAGCGCGCCGTGGGCCCCGAGATCACCAAGACCGACCTGGTGGGGGCGTTCCAGAGCCTGATGAAGGACTGCGAGGCCGAGGTCCGGGCGGCCGCGTCGCACAAGGTCAAAGGTCAGCTCACCTGGACAGGTGTCACCCACCTGGACAGGTGTCACCCACCTGGACAGGTGTCACTGACCCCGGACAGGTGTCACCCACCTGGACAGGTGTCACCCACCTGGACAGCTGTCACTGACCCGGACAGGTGTCACTGACCCAGACAGGTGTCACCCACCCGGACAGGTGTCACCCACCCGGACAGGTGTCACTGACCCTGGACCGGTGTCACTGACCCTGGACAGGTGTCACCCACCTGGACAGGTGTCACTGACCCGGACAGGTGTCACCCACCCGGACAGGTGTCACCCACCCGGACAGGTGTCACTGACCCGGACAGGTGTCACTGACCCGGACAGGTGTCACCCACCCGGACAGGTGTCACTGACCCGGACAGGTGTCACTGACCCGGACAGGTGTCACCCACCCGGACAGGTGTCACTGACCCGGACAGGTGTCACTGACCCGGACAGGTGTCAC